GGGTCACAGGTCCCACCCAGACTGCGAGGAACACATCTTGGCGAATCTTTGCCCCCCCCCTTTTTTTTTTTTTTTTGCTGCGGGAGGGGAAAGAACCAGAGATGCGACGTGTGACTTCAAGATAATACGGGAGTGTCCTTTTCACGCCCAACAGCAAAATTGCTTCTCCTGTTGGGGGAAGGGGGTCGCAGCGAGGCGTGGTTCATTCAATTATTTTTCCTTCTTAAATCTGCAGACAGCTGAATGAAGCCTGCGCGGCTAGCGGAACTGAGGAAAAGGTGGCTGCGCCGCTCCACTCTACAGGACAGAGCCGCTCAGGGGACCGAGCGCCACCGCCGCCCCTCCCCACCCAATTCCGGGGCCTGCCTCAGACCGCAGGCGGCTGGCTCCGCCCCGCCGCGCCTCACAACATCTCCCGCTGCAAATGGCCCAATCGGGAGACGCGAGGAGAAAACAAGAGCCAATCAGGCGCTGCTGACTCAGGCTTCCCTCCACCCTTGGCCCCTCCCCCGGTAGGAAAAGCCACCGCCCCTCTGTCTCCCCTTCCCACCCCCCCACCGCCCCCCCCCCCCCCGGGAGGTGGCTCACCGGCTCCAGTCCCCGTCCGGCTGGAGTGGGGTAGCCCGCTGAGGTGGCGGCGTTTGTCACCTTGTCACCCTCATCCTCGCCCCCTCCCAGACACACCCCTTCTCCCTTTCCCAGTCCTCCTGCTGGTGCTGTTGAGGGTCATTTGTATCCTCACACCGGCAGGGGACCACCAGCTATTGTGTCTGATCAGCTGCCACCACCATCCTGAGGGAAAAGAACAAAACCAAGAAGCTATGTGATCTGCTTACCTTTTCCTTCTTTCTTAACCACTCTATCCCCTGAGATTTTAAGACGCCTCCCCATCCCCTGCTCCCTGCCCGCCGCCAGGGGTCCTGTTTCTTCATTTGGGCGGGATGGGAGGTGGGGGGGGACACCACTCCCTGGAGCCTGAATACCTGTGCCTTAGTTTTTAATATTCCTCTGAGTGGACGGTGACAAACATTTAGAATATACAACTAAATCCTCGGCCTCAATTAGAGGAAAGACTTTGACTGGATCATCTTTATATGGCCATGAAATTTGCATGTTCGTGACAGCCCCTGACAAAACTAGTCAGCCAATAACAAAGAAAGGAAAAAAAAAAAAAGAATAAAATAGAGGGGATGCCTGCCAGTCATTTGGTAATTTACTGAATAGCCCACTGGGCTATAGCAGTATCCAGTTCTAGATACTGTTGAGTAAATTAACAAGAAGTGAATAGAAATGCAGGGTTCAAGTAGCGTACCTCTAGTGGGCTTATAGAATATGTCCAGAAAGGGAAAACAATTTCAAGCACAAAACAGCTCTTTACAAATGCAAATGTGCATGCATGGAGTACTTCACCGCTGAGGACATCTAGGGTTAAGATTTTTGCAATGAAAATTTTCACAAATGTTGATTTTGAAAAAGATTTTCAGTTTAGTAAAGGAGAGTAAATATTGGCCATGGAAGGAGACATGAAAAGGAGGTTAACCCATTTTAGGAAGTGTGGAAAAATAACATAACCTAGAAAGACATTTCTATAAGAGGTAAATGGAAGCATCCAGATCACAGTCTTGCTCCATCATTTACCTTGTGACTTAAGGCAGATTATTATTTATGTGTCTGAGTACTAGAGCTATCAAGTAATAAGAGTGCTTGCCGTCTATAAAGCACTGCCTCTGTGCTGGGTATTCCTTCAAGAGCTTTGCACACAACGTAAGGAGATAGCTGTGTGACAGAGCCAGGATTAAGCCCAGGCGATGGGCTCCAGAGTCCGTGCTTTTCTCACAACACTATACTACAACACGATACTCCAACATGGTTTTTCATAATCATAACAACAATATTAACTAACGCTTACTTAGCTTATTATGCGCTAATTAGTGTGCTTTGTGGGTAACTAATTTAATCTCACCTCTGGGTTAGGCATGATTATGATGTTCCGTATTGGGGAATGTTTTTAAGAGCCATTATGATAAGTTACTGTTATATGTTTCTTATTTCTGTTAGGATAGGAATGATCATGATGTTCTAAAAATTGGGGAATGTTTTTGAGAACCATTGTGATAAATTGCTATCATATGTATCTGTGCGTTAGGCTATCTGGATGGACAGGGACAGTATTGGGAAACCTGGGTCCTAGTCCTTTCCTGGGACCTCCGAGTAGGACATCACCTTTCCTAGCTAGCTGGGATGTTGAGAGTGTCGAATGACATAATACGTGTGAAGGGACTTTCAAAATGTAAAAACATTATTCTGATTACATTATTTGTCTTATTATAAAGCAGGTGTTTATCCTGTCTCCCCGACTGGGAACCCTACTCTTTATAACATTTTGTCGTTATGTATTAGGAACATTTTAACCCGGTTAAAAATTAGGCCAATTCCTTTCTTGAAGGCATGAGCAATAATAGTATTTTATTAACTGTTTGAGCTCTCATTTAGATGCATTCTAAGCAGACCACTGTGGACACTCTCTGGGCGTCTATAAAGTGGCAGCCATCAGCCAGTCATTCGCCATGCCAAAGGTGTAACTGGTGGAGAATGTAACTGGTGGAGAATGTAAACCCTTGGAGTTCCCTTCAGCTGCCCATCTTGGGCATTTCACTCATTAACACCTCCACCAGAGGGAGGGCAAGAGAAAGGAAAAGGAGACAAACTTCCATCCTGCGGCTACTTGTTAACTGCTCCAGTGAGAGATTTGGTGAAACAATGAGTTTGGGGATCACTCTAACTGAAAGGAGATTTGGAACTAACTGTGGGTTTCACAGTTGATATCTTGATAGTTTTCTTTACCCTAAATACAATGGATAAGCAAGAGCTAACAGTAATTCCACCTTTGTTTTACTTTGGAAGGCTAATATTTTCCTCTTTTGTGCAAAGCCAATTAATAATCTAGCTTCTTAGAAATTTCCACACCTATATTAATAATAACTACCAGACGGTCTTGTACACTATAATTCTGACAATCTAGGCAAGACATTTTTAAATATGGGAACTATATCCTTAAAATGTAACTTTTGACTTTGTTAATGACACAATAATATTGTTTTGGTGAACCACAATCAAGGAAAAATGTCGAAGCCAGAAATAGAGCCAAGTGTCTTAACCTCTGGTCTAATGTCATTCTGTTATAAACTATGGATGATTTCTACTCTGAATATAGAAGCTGGCAATTCTAAGAGGCACAAGTGTTTGCCATTGAATTCCACAGATGAAATGTGTAATTTGGGATGAAGCATTTGCAAAACTATGTGTCTGAGGTAGTTAAGACCAATGGCTCTCAGAAGAGTGAGCATTTTTTTTTTTTTTTTTTGGTTTTAGGACAATGCTGTAGACTTCTTTTTCATACAATACTAAAAAGATACGTTACCTGCTAATATTTCCTTGAAAAGGCCTTTGATGTTGAACTGAATAGCTCCAGAAAGCCCACCTCTCTAGCAAAGCATTCACTACTGTAATCAAAACAAGGGAGTGATTTTCCACAATAAATAATTTCTAAGATTCTTCTTCCGTCATCACCTCTTTTACATTAGTGATGTAAATGATTTACTAATTTAATGTTCTTCATTGGCGAGATATATGACATTATTTCTGGCCCCATGATTACTATCATCAATTACTAATTTCGAATCTAAAGGATAGACACTATTTAATTCAATGCATACAGTACCTAGCAAAGTGCCGCACGCAATAGGTATTTTTGAATAATTTCTCTGCCCTCAGCTTTGTGGTTTCTTTTTCCTCTAAACTAGTACTCTCCTTGGGTTTTTCTTTTTGGTTTGTTTGTTGCTGTTAATTAGCTCCTTTATCATAAACGATCTTTTATTGTTATTTAACGGTAACTGAATTTTGTCTCCTTTTCTATCTGCATTATAAACTTCTGTAGGGAAGATTCCTGGGGCTTTTACTTCTCTTCAGGCCCCCATAATGCCTACTGCAGTTTTGCACATAGAAATCACTTCAAAATTATTCAAGAATGGAATGATGATTGTTTCACTGTTATTCAGAAATATTTATACCTCAAGAAATTCCTGGCTGACCAACAACTCTCCAGAGTGGAGGAAGATATGTGTATATATGTCTGTGTTTATATGCTTAAAATAGTATAAATCACAAGAGGTGTCTACTAAGGGAGCTCTTGGTGTGGCCCTCAACTTCCAGAAATGCCACATCTTATCTCTTTACTTCACTTCTGTTGACTGAGATGCTTTTTGGCCTCAAGACCATGCCAGAAATGAGTATCACTTGCGTGTTGTCAGTTATAAAATATTAGCCCATAGCTTATCCATAATCATATATCAAACATTTTCTTCTAGATTCAAATTATTTTTCTATACCAGCATCTCCTCAATTAAAATTGAGTTGTTTGGTAGTCATATTTATCAGCATTATTAAGATTGTATTTCTCAATTAAAAAAAATAAGCATAAAAATCTACAAGTTTTTATGTTATCCTAGGAATCCTGATTTCCATTTATAAGCATTCCAATTTTCCTTAAAATATGAGACAAGTTCTTAAAATATTTCCACCCACCCAAATACATATGATCTAGGACATCGTGTGAAAATATCATGCAATCTGCGTAGAAACTCATGTTACTGGAAAATTGAAATATGTTTTTATTACCTTGGAATGGAATACTAAGTCCTAACCATTGTAACTAAGAAACTGTGCTAGCAATTGACTCTGATACTACAGACCTAATCCAGAGCAACTAAATCTTTTTCAACGGAATGCAAAAAAATCAGCTAGCTTCCCCTTTTCATCTTCAGGGAGCCGAAGTAGGAGAGACATCTTAAAACATCTCCATTACTTGATTCACTAAATCTCTGGGTGTCTTTGAATATTCTTTAGCACTGCAGATTCCATTCCTCTATTCCTGTAATTGCCTGCATTCCCTACTAATCCAAAAGTCAACTAACTAAGGGTTCTTCCTTCAGATAGGAAAGGATTGCAGGATAGTATGTGGCAATTCACATCTGGACTTAAAGAGCAAAGATGCAGGCTTGCCTAACTTTTCTCCTAAAAGATTTTTTCAATTAAATTTTAATTTTTAAAAATTGCAACATAAAAGGAAAAAAAAAAAAAAAAAGACTTTGCAGCCATGAGAGAGGCCATGCTTGTATCCCATTTTACAAACCCACCCTCTTGCTTTCTTCCAAGCTTCTCATTGGCTGGATCCAACAGGAAGACAAAGGTACTAAAAAAATAATTCCTCCACTCTGTTTTTTATAAACAGAAATCTAGATAGCAAATCCTGATCAAAGATGGTTGGGAAACAAATCAAAAGCCTTATGAAAACATTTTTAAATGGGGGGGGGTCAAGAAGATGAAATAAAGGAGCATATTAATCAAATGAGAAAGAAAGGATATATTATAGAAGACAACTTACCCCAATAAACAGGAAAAAATGGAGATAAATGTTTTACACCCTGAAGGAAATAAAACATACTAAAAGTGAAATACAAGAGAGTAAATGAGATATAAAAGGAGTTGAGGGGCGCCTGGGTGGCTCAGTCGGTTAAGCTGCCGACTTCAGCTCAGGTCATGATCTCACGGTCCGTGAGTTCAAGCCCCGCGTCGGGCTCTGTGCTGACAGCTCAGAGCCTGGAGCCTCCTTCAGATTCTGTGTCTCCCTCTCTCTGACCCTCCCCCGTTCATGCTCTGTCTCTCTCTGTCTCAAAAATAAATAAATGTTAAAAAAAAAAATTTAATAAAAGGAGTTGGAAGAGCTAAGGAAAGACATTGAGAAGGAAAAAAATCATACCATTGTGGAAGTAATGAATTAGAAATAAGGAAGAAAAAGAAGGGATATCTGGCAGAAAATAGTGAGACTGATGGCAGACTAAAAGTACAATAAATACAAAGGAAAAGGACAACAAGGTTAAAATGATTCAACAGGTGATAAGAAATATGGAAGACAAAAAGAATCAAATTCAGAGAAATTGATTCTCTAACGACGAGTTTACCATGAATGAAACGCAAAGTATTCAGAGACATAATGTGGGAGACTGCTGAGTGTCCCCTAATATCTGTTCTCACCTTCTTCTGTAAGAATACCATTTTAGCTGAGCACATGATCAACAAACTAGACTGTATTTCCCAGCCTTCCTTCTAAGTAAGTGTGGCCATATGTCTAAACTCCAGGCAATGAAATGTGGGAAGGAATGAGTGTCTGCTATCCTGGATGTCTTCTTTTAGAAGGCTTGGATCGGTGCCTTCTTAGTCCTTCTTCCCCTTCCCGGTGGTTGTAGGTAACGATTGCTAGATGTAACAAGTAAAAATAGAGCGCCGAGTTCAACTGGAATTTCAGACCAACAATGAATACATTTTTAGTATAAGTATATCTCAATTACTGCATGAGACATATTTATACTAAAAAAAGTATTCATTGTTGATCTGAAGTTCCAGTTAAACTGGGTGTCCTATATTTTATCTGGGAACACTCCTGGAGATAGTGAAAAGTGGAGCATATGCCTTTGACCCAGAGAGGGAAGTCACCTGTGGAAGATGGCAGAGACATTGCAGCAGGCCTGAAATGGCCTACTTCTGGATTGTTGCCTGAAAAAGACCATAATTCTGTATGTCACCTCTTCTTTCCCTAAGGACCATGGTGTTCTTAAGATCTTTGGAACTTAGTCTTTGTTCTAAATGATGTGAGAAAACTTTTTTTTTTTTTTTTTTTTTGCAATTCCAACGATTAAAAGGACTTACTGTGTTTCCAGAATTGTTAAAAGAGAATAATTACTTGGGGAAAGTTATGAAACTTTGAGTATAATAAAAGCAACCTACAAGCAAGTCGAAGTGAATCATCTAAAAGCAGGGGTTTGGCAAACTATGGCACACAGACAGAATCTAGTCTGCTGCCCGTTTTTGTAAATAAAGTTTTATGGGAACACATTCACACTCTTTTGTTTACATGTCTATTGCTGCTTTAACACTGTAATAGCAGAGTTGAGTAATCACAATAGAGACCATGTGGCCTGCAAAGCCTACAATAATTTCTATCCAGCCCTTTGCAGAAAAAGTTTGCTGACCTCTGACCCAAAGGAAAAACACTACTGACCTCAGAACTCTTGTCAGCATTAATTGACTTGAGAAGAGTTTTGAAGAAAAAAAAAAGAATGTGACTTAAGGATCACAACCATGTAGTCATCCACATTCAAATGCAGCAGAGATATGTAGAGATTTGGGAAGTCGCATGTCCCCAAAGCAATTATATGATATAATAGTGTAACCAACTAAAGGGTGGTTCAAAATAAATATGGAAGGGCCAAGAGTCAACTGAAAGAATTATTGAGATGGTACAAAATTTACATGTTATAAACCTTGAAAAAAAAGTATGACAGTGAAAAGTAATAATACGATAAATATAATAATATACTAGGACAAAAATGAGCATACAGAAACATTTGAGAGATGGAAAGGGGAGAAATGGAAGAAAGCATTCATTGCTTTAACTCCTTCATTGGTTATGGGGGTTATAGAAATAAGATTCTTACGTTATTTGAGACAGAATGTTTGAGTGACTAACTAATTTGAAATAAAATGAAAAGACAAGCCACAGACTAGCAGAAGATATATGCAATTGATTTATATTGAGAGTTTATAAAGAGTCCCTATAAACCAATACATAAAATAGAAAAGATAAGCAGACAATTCACAGAAGAGGAAACACAAGTGGCCACTAACCCTAATGAAAGATGCTCTATCACTGGAATCTGGATAATGCAAATTAAAATGACAATGAGACCATTCCAAACCCATCAGACTGCAAAAATAAATCTGATAACATCAAGGGTTGAAGTGTTGAAGAACACAGAAACTCTTACACACTGCAGGTGGGAAATATAAATTCATAAAACCAGTCAATGGCAACACTACTTGCTCAGGCCTCAATCCCTGGATTGTCTGCAAGATCAAAAAGGACTGTTATCTTCCTCTCAATATCCAGTAGGCTTCTCAAATTTAAGACTCTAATCCGCTCTTCCCACATTAAGTGGTAATTCTGTTCCCTCTACAGATCCAGACTAAAACATCCAAGGCAGCCCCAAGCCCTCTTTCTCTTTCCCCTCAACATCCTGTCATCAGTAAATCCTGGCAGCTCTCACAACAAACTACATCCAGAATCACCTCCACAACTGTCACTCATACCCATCTGTCACCTGGATTATGAGGACAGTCTTTAACCGGTCTCCTGGTTGCTGCTCAACACCAGAGCCAAGGTCACCCTTTGAGGACCTAACTCAGATCACATCACTTTTTTGCCTTAAACCTTCTACTGGCTTCCCATTCCACTCATTAAAAAAAAAAAAAAATCCAAGTCCTTACCATAGTTTACACTGGCCTTGTTGGATCCACCTCCCGGTTATTTGCCCCTGTGCTGCCACACCAATTTCCCTGCTGTTCCTCGAACACACCAGGCTGGTTCCCACTGTTCCTGCTGTTCACTCAGTGTCTGCACCTGCTATTATCCCAGCCTAGACTATGCAATTCTCCAAATAC